CCATCCATCCATCCATCCATCCACCCATCCATCCATCCATCCACCCATCCATCCATCCATCCACCCATCCATCCACCCATCCATCCACCCATCCATCCATCCATCCATCCATCCATCCATCCATCCATCCATCCATCCATCCATTATCGTAACCGCCTATTCCCTAATGGGGAATGGGGGAACTGGAGCCTATTTGACTTAAACTTTACTTCACAGATCTTTCCAGAAAAATCTAAGTAGTAACTCAATGGCCGAATAACAACTAAAATAATGTTTCCATTTAAAAAAAAAAAGTTTAAAATCAATGCTTTAATTTCCTGTAAAATGGTCAGATTTGCTCAAATACAGCTCAAATACGATAAAAACAAGGATTTCAAAGCAAAACAATGGCTCCTCGGATCATAAAACCCGGTGTTAGGCGTAGTCTTCCAGTCTTAACACAGTTTCCTAAAAAACACTTAAAGCACCAGCAACCTGTAGTTGATCTTTTTTCAATTTATTTGTCAATTCTTAGGAGGATGTGGGGTTGTTAGAAGGATCATAGAATGGTTATTAGAACCACTGCTCTAATAACTGGCACCTCTCGGGTGTTTTATGGTTACAGGATGATTACTTCAACAACTCACCAAGTCTAGCTTGTCAGATTTGAGGCGTATGTAGGGGTCCAGCGTTATCTTCGGTTTCATCCCAGTCGGGGACCTCTGGCTAGCCGAACCTGGATATAAAAAAGAAAAAATAAGGAAAGATTTAGTAAAAAAAATACATTTAAGAAAACTTAGCAAAGACACCGGAAAAAAAAGACAGATAAAATAGAAAATAATCAAAAGCAAAAGGTTTATAAGTCGAAATACGTTCCTATTTAGTGGAGATATGGGCCTAAAATACAGCCGCTATTAGCTTCTGAAAACAGGAGGAAGGGTTTACACAAGGACGCCGCGGCCTTTGTAAACAATGGGAGGAGGAATATCATTGGATTATGGGCAAAGTCGGAGTGGATGTACTGATATTCTTGTTGGGTTTAAGTGGAAGTGGCCGGCCGTGGCCCTGGACAGTGTGTGCGGGGGCGGCGAGGAATGAAAAGCAGATGATTAAAAAGAGGGGAGTGGAAGAAAGATGGATTATTACATAGACAGACACAGAA